TTTTTTTTTTTTTTTTTTGTCAACACATTAGAAATGACACAGGTATAAGAAGTTTAATAAATATACACGTGCTCCGACTGACTTCCCTATCCTTTTTTTGCATGTCTTGATTCGAATAATGGATGGGTGGTTTCACAATGTATACGGTATAAAATCACGCACTTTCAAAAGATAAGAAATTATAAATGATACGAGAAAAAGCAACTGAAAACGAAGCAGTAAAAAAAAGGTCAGATGAAAGTCCCGTTAGGAATGTAAAAAAAATACAAACACACACAAGTGCAAAGAAAGGGGATAGTAGATTTACGAGCAGATTTAAGTCCAGAATCATCCCATAGATCAACAAAAATCAGCAGCATTATCATTCGCAGTAGCAATAGCATTAAAGAGTTACAGGACGTAAACAAATAAAACGCAAAAGAAAAAAATATAAAACAGCTGGAATAAAAGAATTTACAGGAATGTCGACCCAACCATAAATTGCGACGTTGGGAGAGCTGGAGGAAACCACGAGAAAAGAAACTTATGGCACAAAAATTCTGCAGAAGAGGACGTTTGCTTTGCATCTTTCATCTTTTTCATTTCCTTCTTCTCGCTTGCCACATACAAAAATAGCAATTAAACGCAAGACAGAAAAAAAAGGAAGCTGCAAATAAAGTAAAAACTGATGATGACAAAAATCAACCAAGTTATGTGTCAATCATTTTTGAATAATCAGTTGAGACAATGCAACTGTAGCTAAAAAAACACTGTTTCAACAAAAAATTTGCCATGCTTACAGTCTGTACTCAACAAATAATACTTACCAATATTTTAAGAAGCTATTTTTAAAAAAAGGAGGTAAAAAACGACCCGAAAACAGAATAGAAGCAAGACGAAAGATAAACAGTGAAAACGGAAGCATTTTTTTTTTCAGTTTATTAGTGAAGTTGTTACTTACGTTAAAAAATGAAAAGAAAAAAAGCGTACAATTGAAGCTACAATTAAGCGCACTAAATAGTTAGAATAAAAAAACTGCAGTACTAGACTGCATACTGTACATGTGAGTTATCTGATCCGATGTGACAAAAAGCTGAGTTTCTAAATGCAACCGAAACACTTCTTGAACTGAGCATTCAAACCGTATACCAGGCTGAACATCAGCACACTAAATCTCATTGCAAGACCTACTCAATCATGCTCAGCATGTATAACGGTTTCCAACAAAACCCTTTCAACGTCGAAAAAATTCTACTGAAACTTAACTGGTGGCAACCGACAGACTTTCAGACTCAACTTCATAATTTTGAACCGGTAATCTTGATCCAACGTTTACACTAGAAGTAAATCATTCTTATGGAATCCTTACTACGAAGAAGATGTAGAAGACTTGATACTTTTGACCAGCTAATAAAAAAAAAGCCTGTTTACTGTTTTCAGATTCTACAAATACAGTTTTCCACTTTTGTTTCTTCAACAATATTCTGTAAATCAAAATTTTTTGCTCAATTGTAGAACTGAAGTATTTACCGGCACTGCTAATTCAAACGTTTATTGGCAGTAAGCTACTCACCACATGCAGTTTCACGCCGCGTTTTCCTTTTTTTCATTTTATTCTTTTACAAATAGCCTATTGAAACCAATGAACATCCCATCTTTGTCAGGATGTTTAAATGCAATGCTGAAAAAGCAAAGAAAAAAAGAAAAAATAAACTGAAAGTAACTGTTTTTTAAAAGTACTGCAAGCACACAACTCTTAACACCAGGTGAAAAATGCTGAGCGAGTCTGGAACTTTTGTTGGTAGGCTTCCGACCACGATCTTCCACTAGGAATAAATGATTCTCGACATGATGATATAGTTGGCGATACAGGCATTTCCGGAGCACTATCTTCGCCTGAATTATAACCAGTTGGACAAATGAATGCGATATAAAACTGTTTTCAAGAATAACAACTGATAGTGAGGTGAAACAGACATGAGGAAACAAAGATAAAAATCCATAAAACAGGATCTTTAGATGACATCATTAAGTGGACACTTAAGCAACTAACCCGCTGGTATAATAGGAGTTCGAACTTGAGACCTTTCTTGAAATACCGATGTTGTTCGACGTCTCTTCGACTTCGTTTTCTTCTTAATTTCCACCATTAACTGCGGCGGCATCTGTAACTGATACGTACAACACAAATCTCGAGTAGCAAGAACACAGAAACCGTCAAATTCTTCTATGAAAAAATTTTTTCCTTCAGTACATCCATAAACTGATGGATCCTTTCAAAAAATAACGATCACCTGAACCAACTGTGCAGGCGACTTCCGTTGCTTTAATGCTTCTTTTAAATTGAACATTTGTCCACGCATAACATTCAATTGATGTTCAAACATTTTTTTATCAAATCCACGGTCCTCCTAGGAAGAAAATGAAACCTTTTTAAATATATGAGGTACATATATGAAAGAATTATAGACAATGTCAAGAAATACAATTTCACTATAGATATTACCTCGAAAATTTTTCGTAAATCGTTACATAGTTCTTTAACAAAATTTGTGTTTTCTAAGAATGGCAAAACAAGTCTTATGGTCTCCTCACTAAATTGTTTTTTTGCCATTGGTAACCAGGCCCAACGGTACGGATCTACAAATACACAAACTTAGTTAAGTAACAGTGATATTTATTTGACAAAGTCTCTTTACAAAGACCCAATGCAGCATTAAAGCACAAAGAGTGTTCTCAAAATAATTTGCAAAAAACGGTAAATGAACGCTAACCCTAACCTCCAGTCTCAAACTTCCATTTAACAATTAAACTCCAGCCCTGTCTACCCTGGACTTGCTCCGTTAAATCGTTTTCAAATTTTATTTTTTTCTTTCGAACTCTTGTACAACAAAGTAATCTGACCAAACTGAAAAAGCTATTGAAAAAGCAATACGTAAACAGTACTGAAAGCCAAAAAAAACAATGGAGAAAAGACGTGTATTTTAGATACCTTAATTTTTTACAATACCGTAAAAATAAAAAAAACAAAAATATCTTCCCCCGTACTCTTTCTACTAGTTTATTTGCGACAACAAATTCCAAAATTTGTATATATGAGTTCAAAAGCATTAATGACTCTGAAAAGCAATTTCGGAGCTGAACACCCAATAAAGAGTTTCAAGCATGCAGCCTAAAGCAGTAAGAACAATAAAGTTTACTTGTATCAAAATGCATTATAAAAATGCATCCATTCATTGACTCAACGCATTCAACGTAAAAAAACTTACAGGTTCTCCATTCGTCGGGATGCTTAATCGGAAATGCCAAACCATTATCAATAGCAGCTATCAAAATTTTTCCACCAAATTCTTCAACTTTTTCACTCGCTTTAATTAAAGAATCTACAATTTACTTCACTTATTTCACCACCAATGAAAGTTAAGAAAAAAATTCAACAGCTGTCAGACTCACCTGTTCTGTCCAAATATCCTAATTTTCAAATCAAATACAGCAAATAAATTTGATACGCTTTTATGCTACGTGTTAGCTTACAAATTTTTTTTCCTTTGACCTGATTTTCAACTCTTTTCCTTAAGTTTTAAGAGCGCACACAAACACCCAAATTTTTTAAAACTTCAGACACCGCTATCAAATCCTATAAAATCACCGCACTCATGAAACCAATATCCACTCATCACATCAATCAAATTTGAGTAGTATTAGTTAAGTTACTAACTTCAGTTACAATAAAATTTGAGAAACTTCATTTTCAAAATATTTGTGAAAACAAGTAATTATCTCCTCACTTTACTATGATGAAATATATACGCCTTCTTCTAGCCTTGGAAAAGTCACTGTAATACATTCAGATTTTGAATGCTTTATAGTTAATAAAAACACAGAAACCCTTGTCAGATTCAATGTTAATCAAAAAAAAGCAAAGATTTGATTCCTGCTTAAACATCAAAAAGATATTTGAAAACCGTCGTATATTTCAATCTCCATGTGCGAAAATTTTAAACTTCTCATGCATGAGCATTGTGAAGAGTAAACGGTTCAACAAGAAAAAAGTTATGTTCAGAAATTTAATCTCAGTTTTCAAAATGTTCATCTTTACATTCCTTGCATTTTATATTTCTTGCGAATAAATGTCTGATATGCAATATAAAGATTTTATAGTCTTTTAGTTGAGTCTAGTTTTAAAATTAAAAAGTTAAGTAGAAACAAACCTGTGTCAACTTTTTTGGTCTCATCAACAACTGAAAGATCCAATCGTTCACCCTTTTCAACTGAAACTTCTTCCTAAAAACAAGTTTTATTCAACAAAAGAATATAAAAGTAAATTTACAACGTTTGACAGAATTGCCTAATATTTTCAACAAAAACAGCACCACTAACAAAAACCTGAAAATTTACCTGCGTTGTAGATGGTTTTGGATCCTGTGGAACTGGAGCTACAGTTGGTGGTTCATACTTGATCAACCAATTATCATTTCCCCTATCTAATAAACAAGTCGAATTAATAATCACAACAAAAAATACCAATTAAAAACAATAAAATTGCTTACGATTTCTGTAAATAAAAAGGAGAAAGGGAAAGAGCTATTAAACTGCCGCGTAAAATAAAACCAAATGTTAAGAAATTTTCGCAACTTTTATCACGATAAATCAGGACTAACAAAATGGTAAAAATAAATACATTAAAATATACCTGTGTTGCGAATAATGTAGTCTAACACAACCATCTTTTCAAATTGCACCTGAAGTTGTTTTTCGACATTTGGTGGTGGTGCTGTTTCCGGATTGGCTTCCCACTGGTGAAGCCAATATGTCGCATCCTGATAACCACTAACAAATAATTGGAAACTTCCAACCTGAAAAATTACTTGCTAAGACCGCGTACGAAAATCCACTAGATTCAAATAGCAGAAAAATCTAAACGAAACATATCGAAAGGTTAACAGCAACAATCATATAACATTAAATCACTGCAAATTGGTTTTTGTCATTTCGTCACTTTTAACGAGAGTCTCTACCGTTCTATCCCCTCTTTATAAAGTTTCTATTGCTTCATAATCAATACTTCATTTTCAGCTACACTTTCCTCATCTGATGACCGCAGAAGATAGTCATTAAAAACCAAAGCAATATCAACACCAACTATCACGGTTTTTCTTAACATAATAATAAAAAAAAGCGATCTGCACAAAATAATGAAATCAAAGCTGAAAAGAAAAAAATGCTTGTTGCTCCTTCATCCCACAACTGTCAAAGCAATAAAATCAATCAAAAGAAAAAAGTTAAAACTTTCCGCCTACACAATTCTATTTTGATAAAAGATATAATTGAGCTGCAAGAATAAAATCTGAAAGGAACTATATGATGACTCAATCAGATGAAGTATTCTATCAAAACACTGAGACAAAAGCCTTTCTGTTTAGCCACTAAAAAACATTTTCCGGTCTGAATAACGCAAAAGATAAAACCTTTTTCGCCTTCTCACTTTTGTATTTCAATCAATTCAACGGCCGTTAATCGGTGTCTTAACGTCATGAATATCATCTCCTACCTCGTATCGGTAAAAAAAAACTTATTTACATTACAACCATAAAAAATTTCAACTCTCACTCCTTCTCTTCTACAGCTATTGACAAAAAATGGCACCAACAATATCAGTACGAACAAAACAAAAACAAAAACAAAAATTAGCGTCAAACTTCCGGTCAAAGCAACTCCTTTACGATTTTTTCAGCCTTCTTCGCCTACGCTTTTACTTAGCTACAATAACAGTTTGGTATCAATTGAGGAACAAAAGAAATGATCAAAAATAAAACAAATTGAAATGAACAAAATAATAAAAAACAACTTAAAACAGCTCTATTGTTTCAACATTTTTTAAATTTATGGCTTCAAATTGTATTTGAAAATAAACATTAATCACACCCATCTGCGTCTTTGTTTGTCAGACCAAAGAGCCAAATAAATTCTTCACAGTGCTCCTGCTGTCATTTTTCACGCTAATTATGCAAAACATACACAAACAAATATTAGGCACACAAAAACAAAAATTATTCAGTAAAAAAAACACATGAAATAGTAGACAGCAGGATGCAATAAATATAATAAATGCTTTGTTCAATACTTCGAAAAATAGTTGAAATAACTTCAAAACAATAAAAAAAACACTAATCTAGCAGAACCAAAAACAATATCGTCTCCTACCCTCCCCCCCCCCTCCCCCAGAAAAGGATCCTTTAATCAACTAAAAAAACTTGTTTAAGGCAATAATTAAAGCTCTGCCATTTACCTTTAACGGAAGTCCAATACGATGGAAATGTTTGCCTAAATCTGGATAACGCGTCCTTATACGTTCTTTGGTTCGTGCTTTAGCCCGATCTATGCGTCCATAGTTAAATGTCGGTGCTGCCAAGCACACAATGCCAGTTTTTGGCACCACATTTAGATGCAATTTCTGGTCAATTAATGAGGCACCCGCTTCTGACAAATAACCCTTCAATAAACAACATCAATTAATTTATTTTCCGATTATTAAAGTTCTCAAAAATGTCGAAATGTTATATACCTATTTTACTGTTCTTTCCCTGA